AGCGAGCCCCGTGGAGCAGGGACCGGAGCACAACAAATGCCCCTTGATTGCCTTGAAACGTCTAAAACGGCCCCACACTCCTGAGTGTCGCGCCCACCGGGGCCGTTATGGATTGTCAGCTCTCGGGCCTTTCTTTTATCTCCCCTTTTTGCGTTGTTATAGGTTAGGATGGTGAGGGCCAGAGGGGCCTGGGTTGTGCTTTCAGCTCCCTCAGGCTTTTGTCCACGGTGAGTGAGGTGCGGTGAGACTTACCTCGATGCCACACCCTTTATCTTCTCCCCAGAAATGAAGGACCAGTGTTGCTAAAAAAACAAATGCACAGCTCCTCTGTGGGAATTTGGAAAATATTTTGCATTGGCTGCCGTAGGCTTTTTTTAGAATATGGATGAGGAGTGCTTTCAATGCTCAGATTCATCTTGGATGATGAAAATACTATTTTTAAATTGCACACCTGTGATTTCTTTCTTTAGACAGCATCTGATTTGGGAAAGTGGAACAGGTCTGGCAGAAGCACCTTGGTGAAGCAGAGACCCACTGCACTCCCTGATCTTGACAATGCCACGCCACGACTCATGCTCAAGAGAATCATCCAGACCCGTAGGTATCTTTTTATCAGGAAAATGGAAAACAGGAGGGCCGTGGTTCTGTGGAGTCGAGACCAGGAGGTGTTACTCTTGCCCTGTTAACGCAGAACAGAAACCCAGACTGTTTTGTCACCAGTTTTGTCACTGTGCATGCTGGCTATCCTAGGAGTAGAACCCAAAAGAGTTTTCACCAAATCTCTGTTTTTATCCATTAATAAATTAATTTACAGAACGCAGTGTAGATCTGCTGTGTTTTGGGGATTTTTGCTGGATTCAGCTGTGAAAAGGAAATGTTTTGGTTTGTTGGCAGAACCACAAGTTTCACCTTTAGAGGCTCAGATACCTCAACATGAAGAAACAGAAGAAGCTCGATCAGAGTTCCCATCTAAGAGGGCCTCCAGCATGTAAGGAATTTTAAAAATTTTTACTTTTATTTTTCATGCTGCTGTTCCTGTACACCTGCATTTCTTGTGGTGGGACTGGGTCCGGTCTTGCTCTATATCTTCATCAGTGACCTGGATGAAGGAGCAGAGTGGATTTTCAGCCAGTTTGCTTATGATACAGGACTGGGAGGAGTGGCTGACATGCCAGACCTGCGCTGCCATTCAGCGGCCTGGACAGGCTTGGGTGGAGGGGAACCTCATGCAGTTCAACAAGGGCAAGTGTAGGGTCCTGCATCTGCGGAGGAATAACCCCACAGACCAGGGCAGGCGAGGGGCTGACCTTCAGAAGCTCTCCAGAAAAGGGCCTGGGAGTGCTTGTGGACAAGTTGTCCATGAGCCAGCAATGTGTCCTTGTGGCCAAGAAGGCCAATAGTCTCCTGGGGTGGAATGAGAAGAGTGTGGCCAGCAGGTAGAGGGAGGTTCTCCCCCTCTACTCTGCCTTAGGGAGGCCACAGCTGGAATATTTGGTCCAGTGCAGTTTGGTCCAGTGTGTTGGGCTCTTTTCCTCAGTTCAAGACAGATGAACTTCTGGACAGAGTCTGGCAGAAGCTGCAAAGCTGCTGGAGAGCCTGGAGCATCTCTGTGCTAGGAAAGGCTGAGAGCCCTGGGGCTGGTTAGCCTAGAGAGGAGAAACCTGAGAGGGGATCCAGTCAATGCTTGTCAATATCTGAAGGGTGGGGGGCAAGAGGACGGGGCCAGACTTCTCAGTGGTGCCCAGCGACAGGACAAGGGGCGTTGGGCATGAACTGGAACCCAGGAGGTTCCACCTGAGCAGGAGGAGAAAATTCTTTGCTGTGAGGCTACCCTAACCTGGAGCAGGCTGCCCAGAGGGGCTATGGAGTCTCCTACTCTGGAGAGATTCCAAACCAATATTTTAAGTTAATAGGCTGAAGTGTGGTTCATTTACTGCCAGTCTATTATGAAATACAACAAAGCCAGGAGTGGTGACAGGGCTTCATTTACTTTAGCCAGTTTTGTCACACTTGTGCTTGATTTTGCTTACTGCAAACTAGACTGTTCTAAATAATGGGATTTTGTTTTGTCTTTATAGATAAAATTTTTGCATTGACCGTAAGAAACATTAAACAGGTCATCTAAAATATGAAGACAACTTCCATCTTTCTGATTTTTTACTAGAGGAGGAGACATCTGGGTATTCTGTGTGGCAGCTTATTTATTTTTTAAACTGAAGAAAAATGAGCAATATTATTTTTAGTTACATCTTGATTTTGGTTGTTGATATTCTTGAACACCTTATTCTGAAGTTCTTTGTGCCGCAGTATAAGAAGGGCTTCGAGGTGCTGGAGCAGGTCCAGAGGAGGGCAATGAAGCTGGTGAAGGGTCTGGGGAGCATGGCTTGTGAGGAGTGGCTGAGGGACCTGGAGTTGCTTAGTCTAGAGAAGAGGAGGCTGAGGGAAGACAAGAGGATTGGATCTGTACAAGGCTTCACATTCTGTATGTTAACTAGTTGATGAACTTAAACAATTATAGACTTTTTGGTTTAAATCCTTCCTCGCAACCCTCCTTTAATTGAGGTGAACTTGATTGAATCTGAGGGGGCCCTGCTTTCACTAGCTGCCAGAGCCTATTCTGGGATAGGTGTGAAGAAATGAGTGATCTCTTTTCCCATCATTTTACAACTATGGCTTTATGTTTCTTCCTTGTTTCAAGCTGATTTATTCTAATGCCTTATGCTCATAATAAGAAACTCAGAAATGTACTTTCTGACCCTAATCCAGTGCCTGGCTGGAGTACGGTGTGTCTGTGTGGGGTGCTGGTGTGCTTTCTGATACCTGAGGGTGTCTCCTGAGGGTGGCTGTCACATCTCCACTGTAACAACTGACAAGCCTAGTTGCTGTTGGGAGAAAAGAGCCAGGGAGCTTGTTGGCCATCCAATTTTTCCTCTAGTCTGACCTTTCTCAGCCCTGCTGTTTTGAATATACACTCAAGTTTTGATTCTCTGTTGAATTAACTTTGATTTAGCAGAACAACACATTTCTGCATTTTCTGAGCTAATCACCCATTAGTTCCTTTGCTGTGCTGCAGCAAGGACAAATAATTTTCATTTGCTTCTTGGCAATATCTCAGGGACTGTCCTAGAGTGGCCAAGTGATAGTGTTGCCCTCTGTTAAAGGATTGGTTTGTGTTGGCAGGGGGGAAATGCAGCTGCCAGACCTCCTTCCCGAGGAGATGCCGATCCCCACGTTCCACATGGCTAAGAAGAGAAAGAAGCTCAGCATTTCAGAATTTGAGAGAGCAGCAGACAAACGACTTCCCCAGAACCAAGGTAAGGCCCCAGTCAAAAATTCCCTCACTCAGCACCACGTTTGTTGTCAGCTGGTTTTCAGCTGCTACAGTTTAGTTCTGGTATGTTTGGAAGCCAGATTGCAGGATCTTGTTCAAAGGGGATAGCAGAGAAGATAAAAGCCCCTCCTAACAAATTTAAAATAAATCTTTTTGAGCCAAGTTCCAGGCTCTGCCTTGGCCATATGTAATTGCTGGACTATTTTTGGACTTGGTGCTTTTTGAGTTTGAAATGTCTCCAAGGAAAGCAGTCTCTGGTTTCCCCTCAATTCCAGAAACTTGTGAATACAACAAGCTGCATACTTTTTGTTGCAGGTATATAAAATAATTGGTAAAGCTCTTGTTGGTGAAGAAAAGGTCTTGTAGTTTTACAAAAGAAATAATGTTTTATATTAGAATAAGTCTTCCATCTGAACAAAAATGTGGTCAATACAACCTCCGCTTTAGTTGCAGTGCAGTAGAGCCAAATAAACCACCTCACCTTGGTTTGTGTCTCCTATTGGCCGTCGCAACTGGAGAAGAATTCAAAGGTGGGATTCAGTTCCAAGGTGTCATCTCAGCTCTGGATTGTAGCCACTCTGTGCCTGCATGTACATGGAGTAACTGAAGTCCCTCTGATGTTTAGGGGAGATTAGTGAGCGGGGTATGGAGGGTGATTCAGCTCACCTGAAAGTAGACATCTATGTTTGATTATTTGTGCTTGACTGTGAGGAGAATGGAGACTGCTGGGGTTGGAGATTTTGACCTGGAGCTGAATCCCACCCTGACTCAGCTGCCCTCAAAAAATCAACTTGTCTTTAGCCTGATACCTGCTCTGAATGTGTTCTGCCAAGATGTGAGCAGCTCTGGCAAGCAGAGGGGCCAACACCTGCTCTGGTAGTTTCTAGTGTGACTGTGATTATGTCACTGCACTCCAGATCTGCTTTTGGGGTTTTGGAGCTTTGTGACTAGAACAGGTTTGAGTTGCCCTTTCACCAGCAATCTGTGGAGCAGTTATCTGGACTTGTAAAGCTTCCAGATGCTTTAATGTTTGGGTTGGTTTGTGACTGAAGCCTTAGCTGAGCATCTCGCTGTGTGATAATATTGAGTGTGAGGGCACATGCCATATTAAATTTTCTTTGAAATAACTCTTTTATTACCCTGTCAGAAATTGCTTATTAGACCTCTAATACAGAGTTCTGAAATGCAGACCAGAAATTGTGAAGCAAACCTGTCATCTCATTCTGTTCTCACCCAAACGTAACTTGTGGATTGTATCATAACTGGCTCTTGAAATAAGAAGGTCCATTAGGGTCTTCCTGTAGCCTCTTCTGCAGAGGGTAATTTCTCAGCATAATTTTTCAACTAACATGTCACCAACTTCTTTTAGCTCAGTCGACGCTGGACAGCACTGCCTTGGCTCGGTGAGTTGGAGCTCAACTGTCTTAACATCTGGCTGTTCTAACTACAGCTGCCTCGATTCATGACCTCTGTGGTTTGTGAAGCACAGTGGAGACACCTGGGTTTGTGACAGAGACCTGTGTCAGTACTGACACCGTCAGCTCCCCCTCTGGGGATGGTGTTTGAAGGTGTTTTAGCACATACCTTGTGGTTTTCTGAAGCTGGGGCTCTGCACTGTGTGCCCAGGTTGGTTTAGCTTGTATTGCTCCCATTGCTCCTCTTCAAATTATTAGGGTCATAGAACCATAGAATGTTTTGGAAGGGACCTCACAGATGATGGATATATATGTCCAACAATAAATTGCTCTACAATATACTTTAGAACATTATCTCTGCTGTTGATTCATCACATCAGTTGCATCTATGCAGTCTTTAGCCCAGCTTTCCTGAACCTTAAAGGGATTTTAGCAAGTCCAAGAACTCCTTTTCCTGTGCTGCCTGTGTCCTCTGCGAACCACCCCAGTCATGGTTAGTGATGTATTTCACCTTTCTCACTGCAGCTCTCACATGATCCACAGGGTTGCTATCTGTACTTCCCATCTTGGAGTCCTTTGGGCTGCCTAGGCAGAGGGATGGGGGAGGGGGGAAGCTGAGCATGGCCAGTCTATTTAGGATGTAAAATATGTACCATGAGATGCATCTTTTCCCCTGCTTTACATGTTGCTATCTTAGCTCTCATCTCAAAAAAGTTGCAGTATGTTGGTAACTTTACTTTGCTGTGAATACTATGTGGTTTCTTATTCTTGTTCTGAAGTCCTCCTGCCAGCTTGCTGTCATCTAGAGGACACTTAAACTCTTAAAAAAACAAGGAAAACGAATGTTTAAAACATATACATTTTTTAAAATTCCTGAACCTTTTGCCGGACATTATTGCAGCCCTCTCAAAGTAGGAGGCTGTTAAACAGTTTCCTGGTCTTTCTGATGTGTATACTGATGTTAGGTGATGCCATGAAATTAAACTATTTATTTAAAGTAGACTGGCATGTGACCTTAAAGGGGTTTTTTTGGGAAAATTCCTCCTAGCTAAGGGATTTGTGAAACGTCCCATTGTTAGTGACGCTACATCTGTAATCTGAGGGTAAAAGGGGAGCGCATAAGTTTGGAGAATTATTTCTTCCCTCCTCTTCTACAGATCTCTTCGCATGTCTCTTGGTTCCTTGATCCCACCTGACACGGTTGAAAAGAGGGGTTTGCTCCGAAGGCCAAAAAACCGCAGAGTGATTGACATGGAAGCTTTTGAAGGTGGAGTGGAGCAGAACATCCTGAAGAGAAAAGGTTTATTTTCTGTTATTACTGCTGTTGCAGGAGGGAGGGCCTTATCTAAGGTGATTTTTAGCAGCAGTTGCAGAAGTATTTTACCATTTAAAGGCTACTGGCATGTTCACAGAAATCCAATGTAATTTGGGAGGCAGGATAAGCTTGAGGCTGTGCATTGGTCATTGATTTGAGTCTATGCACTTAAATATGTGCTCCACCCAGTTTGGGGATTTATACCACTGAGATTTGGTTTATAACTGAGGGTACTGAGGAGATGGTTTGGTAGAGAAAATGAGGGGTGCTGAAGTGTGGTGATACAGCTGTGGTGTTTGATCAGTGGAGGATGAATAATATTTGTTTGAATAACTTAACTTTCGAATTATGCAAGTCCTAGTAATAAATGTGTGTCCCTATGACCTTGAATGATTTTTTTCACATAAAACTTGTTTTAAAATTTTAACAGCAGAGAATTATCTTGTGGACTCGCCATCACCATCCGGGATTCAAACAGTGACCCTGACAAGTGATGCAGAAATCATGCTGAGTAACACAGAGCTCTTTGTTCAGCCTCCATTTGATATGCAGAGCCAGACAAAGCTTCCTGCTCCCAAACCTCAGCTATCAGATTCCAAAAATTCAACACCAAGAAGCAAGACTTCTGATACAGCTCAAGAGGAGGCAAGGCTGGTGGGCCTGGTATCCAGCATGGGCATAAATGAGAGAAAGAACCAGAGATATTCTGCAGATTTAACCCTCAATCGTGAGCATGTTGACGGAATGACTCATGTGTCTCCAAAAACACCAGCAAACCAGCAAAAAGATAAGCAAGATGATTCCCAGCAGAGTCACCCAGTGGAACAGCTTTCTCTGGCAGAAGCGGTGGTGGTTGGCAGTGAGTACTACAGTCTAGGACTTGGGGCTTAGTAGGTGTTATCTGAAATCACAGAATGACTGAGGTAGGAAAGGACCTGGAGATCCTCTCCAACCCCCCCTGCTACAGCAGAGCCACGTAGAGCAGCTAGCCCAGGACTGCATCCAGGTGGCTTTTACATGTCTTCAAGGGTGGAGACTGCAAACTCTGGGCAACCTGTGCCAGAGCTCAGTCACCCTGAAAGGGCAAAAGTGTTTCCTTGTGTTCAGGCAGAAATTCCATGTTCCAGTCTGTGCCTGTTGCCTCTTCTTCTGGCACTGGGCAGTACTGAAAAGAACCTGGCTTAGTCTGCTCTACACAGTCCTTTCAGATACTTCCATATATTGATGAGGTTCCCCCTGAGCCTTCTGTTCTCCAGGCTGAACAGTCCAAACTCTTTCAGCCTTTCCCATGAGGAGAGAGGCTTCAGTCCCCTAACTTATCATATTGGCCCTCCACTGGACTCTCTCCAGGATGTCCATCTCTCTTTTGCTGAAATCACAGAATGACTGAGGTAGGAAAGGACCTGGAGATCCTCTCCAACCCCCCCCTGCTACAGCAGAGCCACGTAGAGCAGCTAGCCCAGGACTGCATCCAGGTGGCTTTTACATGTCTTCAAGGGTGGAGACTGCAAACTCTGGGCAACCTGTGCCAGAGCTCAGTCACCCTGAAAGGGCAAAAGTGTTTCCTTGTGTTCAGGCAGAAATTCCATGTTCCAGTCTGTGCCTGTTGCCTCTTCTTCTGGCACTGGGCAGTACTGAAAAGAACCTGGCTTAGTCTGCTCTACACAGTCCTTTCAGATACTTCCATATATTGATGAGGTTCCCCCTGAGCCTTCTGTTCTCCAGGCTGAACAGTCCAAACTCTTTCAGCCTTTCCCATGAGGAGAGAGGCTTCAGTCCCCTAACTTATCATATTGGCCCTCCACTGGACTCTCTCCAGGATGTCCATCTCTCTTTTGTGTCGAGGACCCCAGAAGTGGGTGCTGTGAGTTGATCACAAATGTGGTGAGATAAGGAGATAATGTGTAGTAGCTGTAGACAGATTTAGAAGTCTCAGGAGGTTACTCATGTAGACCTTTATGCTGGTGAGGTCATTTATCAGTCACAGCTAGTGGCTTCGCTGTTTCTAGGGCCTTAAAAATCCTTTGGACAGAGGTAGTCACCTCCTGGTCACTCTGCACCAATGCTCTGCAAGTCCTGTCACTTGCCAGTTCTCCCCTAGAGTCTGGTGCCACTTCTGCATTCATCTCCTGAAAATACCTTGTCGTAGAATCGTGGAGTGATTTGGGTTGGGAGGGACCTTAAAGATCATCCAGTTCCAAACTCCTGCCACAGGCAGGGACACCTCCCAACAGACCAGGTTGCTCAAAGCTGGCTTTGGAACACCTCCAGTGATGGAGCATCTACAACATCTCTGGGCAACCTGGGCCAGTGTCTCACCACCCTCATAGTGAAGAACTTCTTCCTTAAATGTAATCTAAATTTTCCCTCTTCCAGTTTGAACCCATTACACCTTGTCCTGTCATGATAAGCCCTTGTAAAAAGTCCCTCCCCAGCTTTCTTGTAGGCCCTCTTCAGATAGTGGCAGGCCCCCAGGAGGTCTCCCCAGCTGGAGCTTTCTCCTCTGCAGCTGCCCAAGCCCAACTCTCTCCTGCTGGGCTCCCAGCAGAGGGGTTCCCCCCT